TTTTTTTTTCTAAAATAGATTTTTACTGCACAGTACAATTTAGTTCGACATATGCCAGTACATACTGGTATTCGTCCATTTATTTGCAAGATATGTGGAAAAGGTTTTCGACAAGCTTCAACACTTTGTCGTCATAAAATAATTCATACATCTGAAAAACCACATGCATGTCGTATATGTGGAAAAGCATTTAATCGTTCATCAACATTAAATACACATATGCGTATTCATCAAAATTTTAAACCATGGGTGAAAAAAAAAACACTTTGTTCGTCTTTTCTTTCGAAAATTTATCGAGAAAGTTTTTTTCTACTCTAGATATGTGAATATTGTGGTAAAGGTTTTCATCAAAAAGGTAATTGGAAAAATCATAAATTAACACATTCAACTATAAAACAGTATAAATGTTCGATATGTTCAAAAGTAAGACTTAACAAAAACATTTTCTTTCTTTTCTTGATAATTTATTTTAGGCGTTCCATCAAATATATAATTTAAAATTTCATATGTATACACATTCGAAAATAAAACCACATGCATGTATGATATGTTCGAAAGGTTTTTGTCGAAATTTTGATTTAAAAAAACATATGCGTAATGTGCATGTAAGTAATACAAATACCGGAAGGAACAATCACGATTAAAAAATTTTTGTTTTACTTTTTCTTTTCTTTTTTTTTGTATATGTGCTTAATAAAAAAATAAATATATTTTTGCGTGTATATTAATCGATAGCATTTTTGTTAACATGCGATGGATAAAACAAATGGTCTTAAATTTCATACCTGCCGAGAGGAAAGTGAAATAATAATTAGGAAGGATGATGTCTGATGCATGTTTTTCTTTAACAGTAAAATCTGTTAAAAGAAGCCTATCGGAAATAAGTACATCCGTTAGTTTTATAGACGAGCACTATTTAACGGAAAAAGGACATATTAAAAAGATGACAGGATATACTATTCTATTTTTTGATAAATTTTACATATTCCCGAAAGGTCAATTTAATCTATTTCTTTTCATAAAACGATTATTTTATCGGAACAAGAAGAAGAAAAAAAAATCGAAGCTGTTAACCACTTGTTGCTTTGTTCAGATTCCTGTAGTGTATACAAAGACAATCATCATCATCATCATTTTTCTTTCTTGTCGTCGTCGGTCAAGAGTACTCATAATCGAGTAGAGAAAAGAAATCAGTTCCATATTGCATATTCATCTGGCATTCTTTTCTTTACGAACACTATTTTAATAGGATCTTTTACTCTGCCTCATCACCACTTGACAAACACTTGTAAAAATCGCGGATATCTTGATGTATGTATGCATGTTTAATCATTAGTCAAACGACGATACAAATTGGCTCCCTTGTGATTTCAGTTTTTTTCATTGGTTAGAGAAAAGAAGACATTTTTGACATAACTGAATTTTTAAAAAAAACAGTCCATGACAACATTAAAACATTTTTTTTTATACTAATAATTAGGCAAAATAAAACTTAGCGCTTTCATAAACCCTCCATATTTTTTTTGTTCTATGTCTACATCAAATAAACGTTTTTTTGACAATGATCTATTTCAATCAACATCAATCAAAAAACGTCTCTGCAGTTCATTAGTACCAAGTGTACCTCAAGGTGGTACGAATTCTGTTCACCAGTCTAGTCTTGATCATTCGTTCTCATCCAATATCAATTTAACATCATATTCAAAACAAATAACACTCGATGCAGGTGATCGAATAATAAATAAAAATTAAAACTGTGCGCAAAATTTTTTTTTCGTATTTATTTTCTAATGAAAAATAATTTAACTATAAATATTCATGCTGATGATCAATTAAGATCATCGAATAATAATAGTCAAAGAATAAAAATTGAATCAAATTCTATTCAAATACTCTATCCACAATTGTTCGATTCGAAAAATCTACCAACAGTGCCTGTTTGTCATCAACAAGAAATTCCAAATGAAAACATTGACAAAAAAATCAAAGCAAACCTTGAATAACGAAATTTATTTGATTATATTTTTTTTTGTCATCGAATGAATACAAAAATAAAATAATCAGCAATTGTTTTCTTATATAATTGCTGTAACATTAAAGAACACTTTTGTTCTTAAGTTTTTTTCTTCTTCGTCTTCGCTTCTTTTTTTTTTTTTGGACAGTATTTTCATATTTTTTTGTCGTTGTTAACAACAAAAACATAAACGAATACGTCTATTATTTTGTGAAATAGTGTGAAGTGAGCTGATTTGTATCTGCACAGAAACAAGATACATCATATAATATGAATCAAGTTCAGGTTAGACAAGTACCAGTAACACCTTCGACAAGTCCTGAACGAAATCCAGGTGCATGGGTAAATATTAAGAGAATATTAAAAATAATTTGATTCTTATGATTATTTTCTTATTTAAAGTTTCCAACTGGTTATTATGGTCATTTTAGAGCTAAACCGCGTATTGAATTATCGAATTCTTTTCGGCAACTTGCTCGTCCTACTCCACCGAATAAATTCGTAGAACGACAAACTGTAAAAAATTCTTTTTTTTATTTAAATATATATTGTATATTCATTTTTTTTTTGTAAATCTTAGTCAGCAGCAACTACACATTTATTTTCTGATCATGATAATCGTCATAAATATGAAGCTGATGCACTTATTCGAGGTGCTCAAAAAGTAAAATCAAATACAATTTGTTTTTTTTCTTACAAATTATTTCTATTACTTTCAAAGGGTATTGGTAGACGAAGAGTTAATGCAAGAGTAGCCGGTAAATTCGATCCATTTCTAATTAGTTGGGTTCCAAAAAATGTTGATCGTAACACCTATATTGATGAAGTTAAAATAAGTTCCTATGCCGATGATTATAGTCGTGATTACGTATCACCATCGAATGAACAACCAAGTACTTCATCACTATCAAATTCATTACCTGACATACAAGGAACAAATAAATCACCTGCAGCTGAAGGTAGTATTTATTCACTTGGTTATAGTCATGGTCAACCGGATCCTGAACATGCAAGACAAATTCGCGATGAAACAATTAAAAGATATGCTGGAACTCGACTACGTCGTGCTCAATATAAACATATTGATCGCAGTACAAGTGTTGCAACATGTCTTGCATGGAATGCTACAGATTGTGAAAATAAACCAATTAAAAATAATGATAAATTAATTAATATTGATTTACCCGTTCCAGCACCACCGCCTCGTGTTATTGCACCAGTTGAAAATAATATCAATCAACAGAATCCATATCTTAGTGAATCTATGCCAACATTTAAAAATACAGAACAACCACGTTTTGATGCAACTCCATTACGTGAATATTATAGTGTTCAAATAATAGCACCACTTCGACGAGCAACTTCATTTGTACAACCACCTACATATACGATGGAAGGTCTTATTTCGAAATATATGTAAACGAACTATTTTTTTTTTCAAAATAAAAAAATCTACGAACATTTTTAAATAATTCATAAGTTTTATTCTAATTATCAATCATTCAGCGACCTCTATGTTCTCAATTTCTCGTTTGATAGATTATAATTTGGACCATATGACTCATTTAATCATTAGGCCGATCCGTCGGTCGGCCAACCGACCGCACCCATTGTGTCTATGTCTTTCTAAGTTATTTGTTTATTTCTTTCACAGAAAATTGAAAAGCAAGCACATGGTTATCTCTTTCTTTAATTAATTACCTATCTTTTATTATAGATAGATTCACACACACACACAGAAGATTGACTCGAAATTTCGGAAAACAAAATTCATTTTTGTCTATGTTTCATTTTTTCTTATCGATATTAAATTTAAGGAGACAACTATAGAATGGGTGATAGGAGAAAATTACAGGGTAAATTTCAATATTATTTTCTTCTTTTCATTTGGATCATATAAATAAAATTTGTCGTCATAGGTGAAATTGACCGTTGTTTAAAAAAAGTAACAGAAGGTGTTGAAACATTTGATGATATTTGGCAAAAGGTAGTTAATTAAAACAAAAAACAAAATCCTATTTACTTATATTTATTTTCAAGGTACATTCAGCACCTAATCATAATCAAAAAGATAAATATGAACAAGAATTAAAGAAAGAAATAAAAAAATTACAACGTTTACGTGATCAAATTAAAGCATGGATATCATCTACAGAAATCAAAGACAAAAAATCATTGCAAGAAGCAAGAAAAAATATTGAACTAGTTTGTTGAAATCTTATAAAATACTTTATCTTAGTTTTATTTTCTTCTTCTAGCAAATGGAAAGATTCAAGATAGTTGAAAGAGAAACGAAAACAAAAGCATATAGTAAAGAAGGTTTAGGAGCTGGACAAAAATTAGATCCACAAGAAAAAGAAAAAGAAGAATGTAATCAATGGATTGCGGTAAAATAAGGAAGAAAATTTATTTGATCAATATGACAATTTTTTGTTTTTTAGGAAGCAATACAAGAATTAAATATTCAGATTGATAAATTTGAATCAGATATTGAAACATTATCAGCATCTCTTAAAAAGAAAAAATCTGATAAAGATGTAAGTTATTTCGACATAAAAGTGTAGCTATATATAATTTGATTTCGATTTTAGAAACAAGAACGTCTTGAAGATACCAAACATTCAATAGAACGTCATAAATTTCATATTGAATCTTTGGAAAAAATTCTTCGTGCAATTAATAATGATGCATTAGATCTTAAAACTATACATAATTTACGAGCTGATATTGAATATTATGTTGAATCAAATCAAGATTCAGATTTCAAAGAAAATGAATTAATGTATGAAGAAATTGATATGGATGATTTAACAACATTAATGGCACCTGTTATAGCAGTACCAATAACACAATCTCATCCTCCATCATTATCAAATGGTAGTAGTATTTTAAATTCGAATGCAACATCTAATCATATTGATATTACTTCATCTTCAATGAATATAAATTCATTAACAAATCATTCGTAAAGAAAACTTTAACAGGAAAATTTTGTTCTTTATAAATATATTTTCTTCAATTAGATCGGATCGTACAACAACGACGAATTCAAATCATGGTGATAATGAATCTATGATAGGTCTTACAACGCCATCATCAACACAAGCTAGTTCACCAAGTGCTAGTCCAGCATTATCATTAACAGATGATCGAAGACGAAATAAATCGGAATCTGAAGATAATCAATCACAACGCAATAGGTTAGTCAAATCTTTATTTTCGCTTGACATAAATAATCTTGTCTATTTCTTTTATTTAGATCGAATTCAGGTGCAAATAATTCATCAGCAACACAGATATCATCACCAAAAGCTCTTTTACAATCACAACAGCAATCACCTAGTCTATTATCATCAACAAAACCAATCTTATCATCAGCTCCATCATCAGCTTCAATACTTTCAACAAGTGCACCACCACATTTTACATATCCTGTGACTACAACATCAACATTGCCTGTACTACAATATTCAGCAATTGTTTCACATAATACTGTACCATCTACTTCAACAACAACTACAAGTAGTAATACAATCACATCTAAACAACAACAACATATACTTTCTCCACCAACAAAACAACAATCAAGACAATTACCAAATGGAACAGGATCAATATTAAATACGAATGAATCAATAGTTACTACAACATCAACTCTACCGATATCATCGGTTACGACGACGGTTACTAATTCATCAAATACGTCTCATCCACCTTCATTATTATCCACAACGAATGATCGATCAGGTATTAATTTATGAGAAAATAGATTTAATAAGAGAAAACTTTCTAAATATGAAATGAATGTTATTTAAGATTAGATAATCCGTGTGATATTTGTCTATCTTTCAGCACCTCGCTTAACCTTATCTGAATGTCATGGTTAGTCGTGAGATACTTTTATAATGAAGTTCTTTATTACTGTAAATAAATATTCTAAAAATTTAATATCTACAATCAGTAACTAAATGTTGAATTGTGTATGTGAATATATGTTTGTTATTTATATACTTTCCGCAGCATTCCTATCGATTCAAAATCTTGAAAAAAAACATTTTATTTTTTGAAGGTATATTATCTCAACATATTCTTAATAATATCTCATCTCAAATAAATGTTCCATCATCATCGTCGCCAATAACAGCGCCAACAATTTCATCGCCATTATGTTCAAGTTCAGGATCAGGTTTATCAAATTCAAACATTCCTCTTGAATCATCTCCATCATCATCATCAAATGCAATTGATCCAGCAATTGTATCTCAACAATCATCATTGCTACCATTACGTACAACTTCAGAGAATGATCGTTCAACAATAATGAGTAATGGTTCTTCAGATGGACATTCATTATTAGATAATGCATATTCAAATATACCCTCGTCATCATCATCATCATTATTTCTATCAAATACGAATTCAAATATTGGAGATATTCCAGCAACGAATGGTGGTGTTATTGGTCAATTAGCAAGTGGTATACCATTGAATCCTGATCATCATTCACTTCGTTATATGTTACCATCAACATCATTAAATATTCTTCATCAACAGACAATACCAACAGGACGAGTACCATTAACACAAGCAGAAGTGCGTATGCTTAGTCGATTAAATTCAGCATATACGAAATTACCATCTTTACTTGAATCTGAAAGACAAAGGTATTTATATTTTCCAATAAAATATTCAGTTCTATAAATCGATATTTATTTTAGAACTAATGGTAATCGTATATATGGTCGAAGTTTACTCAGTCAATCACAAGCTGTTCCATATTATCCACAAACTCCACCAGCGGGTAGTGATGCACCAGAATTTTATTATCGACTTGCACCTGATACATTATTTTTTGTATTTTATTATATGGAGGTAATCAAAAAAAATAAAATTTAAATCTGTACGAAAATCTTTTTTTATTTTTTCAGGGAACTCGTGCACAATATCTAGCTGCTAAAGCTTTAAAACGTCAATCATGGCGTTTTCATACGAAACATATGATGTGGTTTCAAAGACACGAAGAACCCAAAACGATAACGGATGATTATGAACAAGTAAATTATTCTTTTTAATTTCAAAATTTTATATTTTATATTTTAGGGTACATATATATTTTTTGATTATGAACGATGGCAAACACGTAAACGTGACAATTTTATATTTGAATACAAGTTTTTGGAAGATCGAGAATTTTGAATATATGCTTGTTGTACATAGAAAGAGAGAGAGTAAAGAAAAAAAAAAGCCATCAATTTATCATATAGATCTGGTCAGTTTTCTTTTGTTGTTCATCTATTTATTTCTCTCTCTTTCTCATGTGCGCTTGCGCCTCGTTGTCATCATTTCTTTCTCTTTTTTTTTTTGAATGTTGTTTGTTATATTCTGTCACCTTATTTGGTTGTTCTTTTCTTCTTCTTCTTTTTTTACGTGTATATCTATCGTGTGTGTGTGCGTGTTTTTTTAACAAGCAACGTCCTTTTTTCGGTCTGTTGAATATGCGATGTTTAAAAAAATCTTATATAAGAGAAATATCAAGTTTTGTTTTCTCTTGCTTTTTTTTCCTCACACACTCTCTGTATATACGTGATTATGGATGGGATAAAAAAAAGAAGAAGAACAAGAACAAGAAAGATAGGCTACATAGAATCATACACACAACGATATCGAAGCAACCATGCAAATTATTAGTAGGCGAATAGCGAAAATATGTAGGTAGTGAGAAAGAAAAAATGCACATAAAGCATAGACAACGACGGTAAGAACGGGTATTCAAAGTATCTATCAGTTGGAGTAGGCAATCAAGCAATATATATATATCATATCTAATCATCAATAAATATGGTAGGTGTATTTCGAAAAAGTTTTTATTACTCAACAGAAATATCTTATTTAGCGTGAATGTATTAGTATTCATGTTGGTCAAGCTGGTAATTGATTTATTCTATATTTAATAGTTTTTCGTATAAATTTATTAATAACAGGCACACAAATTGGTAATGCTTGTTGGGAATTATATTGTCTTGAACATGGTATAGAGCCTGATGGAACATTTAGTAAAGATCGAGATAATAGTCATATTATCAGTAAGATAATTATAATCAAATAGTTCTAAAATAATTTTATTTTTATTTTTTAGAATCTATCTCAGGTTTGCATTCTTTATTTTATTATTCATAAACGTTATGTTCGTATTTAGATTCCAAGGAAACCTCATTTAGTACATTCTTTAATGAAACTGGTTAGACAAATATATACATATTTCACAGTAAGAGATTACCTGTTTTTATTTTTAGGAAATGGACGATATGTTCCAAGAGCTGTTTTTGTCGATCTTGAACCATCAGTTATTGGTAAATATTTAAACCTTTTTATTATTTTAATAAACTATTATTATTTTAGATGAAGTTCGTCGAGGAACCTATGCAAAATTATTTCATCCTGAACAATTAATTTCAGGTAAAGAAGATGCTGCGAATAATTATGCTCGTGGTCATTATACAGTTGGAAAAGAAATTATTGATACTGTACTTGAAAGATTACGTAAAATTGCTGATCAATGTACAGGTTTACAAGGTTTTCTTGTCTTTCATAGTTTTGGAGGTAAATAAACACAGAAAGAAACTAAATGCATAAAATATGACCTTTTTTCTCTAGGTGGTACTGGATCAGGTTTCACATCTTTATTAATGGAACGTTTAAGTTTAGATTATGGTAAAAAATCTAAACTTGAATTTGCTGTTTATCCAGCACCTCAGGTAGAGATTCGTTATTAACTGATATTTATCATACTTTTTTATATTTAGGTTTCAACTGCTGTTGTTGAACCATATAATTCCATCTTAACTACACATTGTACATTAGAACATACTGATTGCGCTTTTATGGTTGATAATGGTAATAGAAATTTTTATCGATTAAATTTATTTTTAAATTTTCTTCAGAGGCTATTTATGATATTTGTCGTCGTAATTTAAATGTTGAACGACCATCTTATCATAATTTAAATCGTTTAATTGCACAAATTGTGTCATCAATAACAGCATCACTTCGTTTTGATGGTGCATTAAATGTTGATTTAAATGAATTTCAAACAAATCTTGTACCTTATCCACGTATACATTTTCCACTTGTTACTTATGCACCAATTTGTAGTGCTGAAAAAGCTGCTCATGAATCATTCAGTGTTCAAGATATTACAACTGCTTGTTTCGAGCCACTTAATCAAATGGTTAAATGTGATCCACGTAATGGAAAATATATGGCTTGTTGTTTATTATATCGTGGTGATGTTGTACCAAAAGATGTTAATAATGCTATCTCAGCTATTAAAACAAAACGATCAATACAATTTGTTGATTGGTGTCCAACAGGTTTTAAAGTTGGAATTAATTACCAACCTCCAGTTGCTATACCAGGTTATTATATATATTTATACTTTTTTTTCTCAAAATAATCCTTTTTTTTTAGGTGGAGATGTTGCAAAAGTTCCTCGTGCTGTTTGTATGCTTTCAAATACAACTGCTATTGCAGAAGCCTGGGCACGTCTTAATACGAAATTTGATTTAATGTATTCAAAACGAGCTTTCGTTCATTGGTATGTTGGCGAAGGTATGGAAGAAGGTGAATTTAGTGAAGCTCGAGAAGATTTAGCTGCACTTGAAAAAGATTATGCCGAAGTTGCCACTGATACTGTTAATGAAGCAACTGCTGATGGAGGTGAAGAATACTAATTCCAAAGAAAACTATAAACAATATAAATTTCTATTTTGTCAATTTTTTTTTTTTGTGCACAAGAAAAAGAAAAACTTTTTTTGTTGTTTGTTTTTTCTCGGTGGCAATGATAAGCACACAACAAACATACACACAAATATATAAAGAAAAAAAAAAACAAACAGCCATCCAGAACCCAACGAAAAGCTTAATGAAACACACACAACAACCGTGTAGATATAAGCACACACAAAACAAAAAAACCGTTTTTTCTTTTAGTTATGAATAAATTAAGGGCGTTTAATAAACGAGAGAAAAAAAAACAAAATAAAATGAATGAACTATGCGCAAACACACAGCAGATAATAAAAGCTGATACACACACACACACAAACTCACACACAATCGCTTAATAAATAAATAGGGATACAGGCGGCAGCATAAAAAAAACACAGCATCAACTCACAAAAAACAAAGGAAAGAAAAAGTCGACAGATAATTCGAAAGCATAAACACACAGGAAATTCCATCTCCTTTACTCTTTCGCCTCTCTTTTTTTTTACTGAACATATATCGAAACAAGTCTCTTTGAGAAACGCACACACGCGCACACACAACACAAAAGTAAATAGGCTCGATTTTTTTTTCTTTTCGGAGGGAAAACAAAACAAACAATAATAATGAAAAAAAAAACGAGAAATAGACAGTTAAAACATATACTCACATTAACAGATCTTTTTTTTTTGTTTGCAAAACGAGATATAACACGATGATCGTACTGTTCTTTCATCGAATTGTAGTTATCTAGGTTACTACGAATTACGACGTGGTTTTTTCAATTCGACTTTCAGTCGTTTTGGACCAACACTAAATCCATCCATACTTGATATTGCTGAAAAATAAAAGAATTTGATTAAAATATGTAATGACTTCATATGAAAAACAAAATTATATACCTTGTTGTGCCGATGAAGGATTATCATAGGAAACAAAACCAAAACATTTCGATTGATTAGTTTTTTTATCAACAAATACCTAAGAAAAATAAAATTTATAGGTTTATAATTATATTTCAAATAAATTTATGCTTTTACTTTCGCTGATAAAACAGTACCAAATTGTGAAAATAAATTCATTAATGTTTGATCAGTTGTTTCTTGTGGTAAATGACATATAAATAAATTGGAATTTTCCGGGCCAATTGGTTGTTTACCACTTTTTGTTGTACGATAAGCTTGATTTGGTGAAAAACGCATGGCAGATAAATAAGATGAATTATTTGAAAATGGTAAATAACCACCATCATTACGTTCATAACGATCATTAAATAGATTCGATGTTGTTGGACCATTTGGTTGATATTGTGTTGATGAATTCATATATAAATGATTTGTAAATGGTGATGATTGTTGATAATAGAATGATGATAATGTTTGTTGTTGATCATTTGTTTGAGGTAAAAATGAATTTTGATAAGATGATGATGATGAGGATGTTGGTGGTTGTAATTGTAGATCATTAAAACGATTAACCATTTGATCTAAACTTAATTTTTGATTATCTAATGATTGACGTGAATCAAGTAAATTATTATTAGTAGAAGGAATATTTAGAGAACGTCGATCAATGTCATTCGAAAATAGATTTGATGATGATGGTGATGGATCATATAATGATTCATTAAAACAAGATGATATTAGAGGCAATTGTTGTGAACAATATGGTGATGATGATACATCATTTGAAAATTGAAAACGTCCTGATTGACTTATATGATGATTATTACCATTTAATAGATTTGCTGGTGATGATGGTAATGGACTAAAATCATGATTATGATGATTTAATTGTCTTGGATACGGTAATTCATCTCCTCCAATATCACTACCAAATGGTTCAGATGGCCATGGACGATGAGATGGTGAAAATAATGGTTCATTCCAATTATGATCAATACCAGATTGATTTAATGTTGACCAAACAGGTGTTCGATTATGAAATAAAGTAAAATTATCAGTTGGATCATTACCTCCATTAGGATTTGTATTATTACTAGCACTGCTTGTCATTGTCATTGCGGACATAATATTCCGACCTCTGCTATGTGAGAAGGTTGGCCAACTTACACCTTTACTCACTCAAAAAAATCTAAAAAATAAATAAATAAATAAATATAAAAGAATAAATATATTGTTTATTTATTTTTGTCTTCTGTTTATTCTGAATATATATATATACAGTGTACACGTATATATATATATATATAACTGCATATGTGTGTGTTTTTAAAAATTTAACTTAAATATAAATGACTTACACGCAGAATAAAGTTTTCGATACGTGTATTCCATATAAACGAAATTAAAAGCGGAAGAAGAATAAGTAAAAAATCTTCAGTATTTATACACTCAGCTGTTCCCTGGATTACACATGCTACACAATGTCTTCCATTCGCTCTCTCTATCTCTCGTTATTTTCTAACACGCATTATTTCGCTAATGTAGACGAGAGATGAGAATGCCCTCGTTGGTTGTAATTCGTTCATTTTGCTTTTCGTCTATAATATACAAATGATAACGATGATGAATAAATCAGGCGAGGTAGAATAGTGAGGGAAATATGCATACGCACACAAAGAGAAAGAGACCTTGGTTTGGTCGATGTATTCGATTTCTTCGTCACTCTCTCTCTCTCTCTCTTTTATTCACCCTTGTTTGCATTTACGTATGTAAGTACCGATACGATGTAACCTATAAGAATAAAAAAAAAAAAGAGAGAATCGAACATGCACACAACTTGGAAACCGTGGTTGAGCGCGATAGTGTGCACATCGAAACAAACAAACATACACATATATCGTTTATGTTTATTTCTTTTAGACAACGAACAAAAAAAAATAAAAAAAAAATGAAAGACGACTTTTTTTACTTTTATTTATAGAAACTTATCACATGTTAAATCACTTTTTTTTGACAAAAACTGGAATATTTTCTCTTGTTTGTCGCCTGTATGACTCAATTATAACCATTGGTTATCCATAGTTTACCTATTCTATAGTAGAAAAAATATGGAAAAGCGACTGACGATAGCTGGTTTGAGTCAACGCATACGATTCAAATGGTTTCTTTTATATATTTATAGTTTTTTGTCTATTATTTATGAAATAAAAATATGACGACATTTAAACCTCTTGTTGATGCTGAATGTGGCACGACGAATCCATTAATTAAATTGAGTGAATTGTATAAAGAAGATAAAAAACTTGTTATACAAGTAATGAAATTATTTTCTCCAGATATGACAATAAATATATATCTTTATTAGGATGGAATAAATCCGTCATTAATTAATTTTTCTGTAAGAAAATTTGTTTATTTCAATTCAATGAATAACTTTTAACATTGTAGGACACAAATTTAACTATTAATTCTGATACAATTGTTGATGAACTTGTTAATGAATATCATAGACCTATTATTGCACCAAATACATTTCATCTTGAAAGTCTATTAAAAGATTTACATCCATCTGATCCACGTAATAAAAGTTCTTGCTGTTTTATTTTCATCTATACTAAATAATTGTTTTCTATGTTAGAATATGAATGGACTAAACAATTTCTTGATTCATGCTCCACTTATGATCTACCATCTTCTCCTCCGCAAAGTCTAACATTGTACGAACAAAATTATATGTAAGTTTTATTATGCAGAAAAATAAAACGAAATTACCTACCGCTCCTTTGCAAATTTTGGATTCGTTAAATTTTCTATAGCATAGTGTTAGGTAGAAGTAGGTCCTGCTGAATTATTAATCGCAACGAATAAATCGTTATAAGTAGTTTTAATTCTTTATATAGTCAATCACCCGCATGTTTTATACTTCACCCAAATCCTATTTTTCTTGATCAACAACCGTATCCTATTGATGCAGAGTTTAACAATGATACAGTTGAAGCTACAAATAATATTCTTTCTTTACTTCAAGAAAGTCAATTTGCAGCTAATACTGAAGTAAATTAAACATAAAAAAATATTTTGATCCTCTATTGAATTTTATTTTAGTGTAAAACGTCGGTGAATGATATAAACGTTCAACATGATACTGATGCATTGAATGAGAATAAACGACAATCTGATGCGAATCTATCATTATTCAACGAGTAAGAAAAACACGAAGAAATTAATTTTTCAATAGTCATATTTTATTTAGTCAAACTCCAAGTTCACAATTATCTTCGGGCCAACTTAATAATCATACTGGATATAAATTTATTCAACCTAATCCCTTTTTTGATTATATCAATCCATATGAAGAAGGACTTAAACATTTGGAAGTTCATGATATTGTTAATGCTATTTTATTCTTTGAAGCTGCTGTTCAAAACAAACATGATCATACTGATGTATGTAAAATATTGGATAAGCTCTTTTTTTTGTACCGAGAATACGAAATATGTATTTCTGGCCTTCGAAGATAGAATAAATTGATAATGTCTTGTATCTCTCGATCTTCTATAATTGATCAGTGATATGTGCACTAGATAATAATGCTGTGACAATCTCAAACGTATATTTCAATGTCATTTTATTTAGATTTTATATTAGGTACATCTATCTTGAGAAATGTTATAATTCCTAAGAAAACTTTTTTTATGTACAATAGCCACCAAAACTTGAATATCTATTAGTAGTGTATTATATTTCTTTTTCTTTAGGCATGGCTTTGTCTTGGTATAACTCAAAGTGAAAATGGACAAGATGTTCATGCGATTGATGCATTAAAAAAGTATAATTTATTCTTAAGTTTTGTTTTCTTTTCTAAAATATCTTTGATTAATAGATGTATTGAACTCGATTCAAAAAACACTCAAGCTTATATAACATTAGCATCATGTTATGCAAATAAAATGTTAAAAAGAGAAGCACTTAATTCTCTACATCAATGGTTAATAAATCATAATAAATATTCTCATCTTCTATCTAATCATCGATTACATTCAATTCGAGATATTGAAATAATTTTTGAAGATTTAAAAAATTTATTTTTACAAGCAATTTTATTATCGAAAAATTCGAATACAATCGATTCTGATCTACAAGTTTGTCTTGGAATATTATTTTATTTATATGATGATTATAACAAAGCAACAGAATGTTTCAATACAGCCATTCTAGCTAAACCAAATGTATGTTGATCTATAGATTTTAAATTTCAATTACTTTTTTTATATAATAGGATGCTCTATTATGGAATAAATTAGGTGCTGCAATAGCAAATAGTGGTCTTAATGAACAAGCTGTTAATGCTTATTATCATGCATTAAGATTATCACCAGGTTTTATTCGTGCTCGTTATAATTTGGGTAAAAGTTGTTTAAATTTAAATGCATATCGACAAGCCATTGAACATTTTTTAATTGCACTTAAACAACAAAATAATGTATATTCACAAATGTCGGATGATATTTGGCACACACTTGCAATTGCTATTGATTGTTTAAAACGACCAGATTTAATAGAATATGTTAGATACAAAAATTTATCAAAATTACTCCATGAATTTGAAATCGAATGAATTTTTTTTTTTACTTTTCATACTACTTCGTTTTGATTGTTTACATGTGATAAAATAACTGATGTAATGTCTAGCTGAAGCAATAGTGTGTAATATGAGTCATAGAATATACACAGAGAAATAGATATTAGTCATCTTGCATCAGAAAGTAATATGATTTATAGATGAGATTTATTCTTTCTTTTAAGATTATATTAATTAATACAATAGAATGGCACAAGCATCTGCAACAGTTGCTGATAAACATGCATTAATTACACGTAATCTTCAAGAAGTTCTTGGTAATGATCGTTTACAAAAAGTTTTGGAAGAACGAGATCTTCGTGTTTATTGGGGAACAGCAACAACAGGTCGACCACATATAGGTTATTTTGTGCCCATGACTAAAATAGCTGATTTTTTACATGCTGGTTGTGAGGTAGATTATTTATTTTTTGATTAATTTTCTTAATAAAATATTAATTATTTTTAGGTAACAATATTATTTGCTGATCTTCATGCATATTTAGATAATATGAAAGCACCATGGGAATTATTAGGTCATCGTACCGTTTACTATGAACATGTAATAAAATCACTATTAAAATCTATTGGTGTTCCACTTGATAAATTAAAATTTGTTCGTGGAACTGATTATCAATTATCTCGGGAATATACACTTGATGTTTATCGTCTATCTTCAGTTGTTACCGAACATGATGCTAAAAAAGCTGGTGCAGAAGTCGTTAAACAAGTTGCATCACCATTACTTAGTGGTTTACTCTATCCCGGTCTTCAAGCTCTCGATGAAGAATATTTAAAAGTTGATGCACAATTCGGTGGTGTTGATCAACGGAAAATTTTTACATTTGCTGAAGAAAATTTACCAAGTCTTGGTTATGCTAAACGTATACATTTAATGAATCCAATGGTACCTGGTTTAAATGGTGATAAAATGAGTTCAAGTGTTGAAGATAGTAAAATTGATTTACTTGATACACTTGATCAAGTTAAGAAGAAACTGAAAAAAGCCTTTTGTGAGCCAGGAAATATTGAAAATAATGGTATACTTGCTTTTTGTAAGAGCGTTATTTTTCCATTACTTAAAGGCAATGGTTAGTATATTGAATTTTCAAGATTATATCTAAAAAATAAGTTTTTTTCTTTGTAAAGCTTTTGTAATACCACGAGGAGCTGATTATGGTGGACCAATGTCAATTCATGATTATAAAGAATTAGAAGAAGGTTTTGCTAAACAGGAGGTACATCCCGGTGATTTAAAGAATGCTGTTACAACAAGTATTAATCAATTACTTGAACCAATACGAAAAGATTTCGAAACAGAAGAAATGCAAAAAATTATATTAAACGCCTATCCACCACCAGCACCAGTTCAGAAAAAAGGTATGATATACTTTTGAATTCAATAAGAAGCGTTATTTAAAAATAATTGTTATAATTTTAGTAAAGCCAGTTAAACCAAAAGGACAACGACCAACTACAGCAACAACTGAATCTGAACTAGTACAAAATGTTACTGACAAACTTGTTATTGAAAATGGTGCAAGTTCAGAGTCGCAAGCCGCCGGTGAAAAAAATTTACAGTCGAAAACAAATCAAAATGGGGAAAATTAATTTGCATAGTGCAAATTTTTAATTTTTATTTTTCTGAATCTATTTTTTCATTAGGGATCAAAACGTATTGTTTGTGTTTACTGTTATATATCATATAAAACGTCAACATTAATGATTTTAACAGGAGAATATGAGATTTTATTCTTCAGATAGTTTCATTATTTAAATAATCAAAATCTAATACTTGCAAAACTATTACAACATATGAGCCTTCTTAACATTAACATATGAAGTAAAAGAGAGAGAGAGAGAGAAGAATAAAAACTTGATTCTTTACTCTTATCTTTAAAGTAAATATCATCTAATATTGACCAATGAACAAAAGTACAATAAGAGAGGTAGAAGTGAATATAGAACGAAGACATAATTGACTCGAACAGTTCATTCTATGTCATAAAAAAAGTAAAGATTCAATTTATAAGGTAACGTAAAAGTATTTAAATTCTCAATCAATGATAGAGAATACAACTATTAGAAGGTTTTATTGTCTAAGTGATTTCTATTATTATAGACATAATCAAAAAACCTTCTTTTGCATAACATTGAATCGAGGTCATATGTATTCTCTCTTACACATTCAATTATAATAAAACTAGTAGTTAATAATCTTTTGAATAAAGAATATTCCATCTTTGTATTAAATATCGATAAATAAACATTCTTTTATATCTACAGGTAAATATCATAGCATAATATGTGATTATTCATGATGTCAAACATAAAGAATTTATCTTTTTTTCAATTATTTGTTGTTAAGGTCAATGACGTATATACGAGAAAAAAAATGATGATACTAATTCGTTGTTATATTCTTTTTTATGTTCTTTCGGTTTTTTTTTCGAGACGAACTAATGCAGTACTATCATAATGACAATCTCGCACATACAAAAAAAACAAAGAACTATACTCTCACATTTGTTTATCGTAATTTTTCGGTTTGTATCCTTGAAAAAGAAAAGGCATGCGTAACGAACGATTAATAATCGGTTATCGAACTGAGAAGTACCGAAAAAATTTCATTAAAATATGACGATTTTTTTTTTTGTTTTGTAATTTATCTAGTGGCGTGGGAAGAATGGAAAAACATGAGATTGACAAACTTGAACCATATTTAGAAAAACGAAATGGTTTTACATGGTTACCACAAAGTGATACTGATTATTATCAATCTGAAATAGCACATAATAATTTAAAATTATCTCAAAATAAACGTGATCTTATGAATATATCGGATTATTTATTTTGGTCAATTGGAAATTTTTTTCTTTTTTTTCTTTTGGGTATTATTTGTATTATTTTATCTGTACGTGTACGTGAACATAAACGTACGAAAGATTATGAATCAACATTAAAATTATCACAAAGAACATTGGTAATGAATATTTTTACGACTATTGTTGGTATTAGTTTTCTTGTTACAATGCTTGCGCTATTAATTAATAAATCATCTACAAATTTTTAGTATTATTTTATATCTGTAGAGAATTTCTTTTTTTTTGAATAAAACTATCAGCTATTTTTTTTTGAATATTCGTTTGAATCATTTTCATAATTATATGGTAATGATAATAAAATTTGTTAATGGTGATCATCAATTTTTATGTCTGGAAAAAACAATATTTGATATTTCTTGGGTAGTCAATAAATTTTTTCTCATGGTCCGTTATTTCTTATGGTATACAGATGCATGTACATCATTAGTGTCAATTTTCTTGTTATTTCGCGTCTGTCAACTAAAGTATGAATAAAAGTGAAAAAAAACAGCAAATGTACATTGTTTTCGTTTTACTGATATGATTATATATTTACCTTTTTAGTATCATTATATTGACAACATAAAAAAAAAGATAATGACGCTGCATATTTCTTTCATAAATGAAGAAAAACATATTTTGATATGTTATACCGAGCGTATCACATACCACACGTCCTTTACTAAAACTAAAGTTACAAAAAAAAAATAGCAAATCATATTATTACTTCGCCATTCAATCGAATAAAATAAACAAGATCTAATGCTTTCTTAACATAGATTGACAGTATGTTATTGTTATTCGGATGCCTTAAACTAAAAACAAAAGTTATTATATCGATACAAAATTTCTCATGATAATTATAAATACAAATTACAGTTGCACATGTTGTCCAATAACATAATATTATACATAGAATCTATCTTAAACGATTTCATATAAATTATAAATATACAGAGGAAAGAATCATTTTTATATTATTCACAAAAATAAGTACTGAATGTTTTTTTTGAGGACATCCATGAAGATATAATGAGACAGACATTCTATTAAACATCTATGTTCTCATTATAATTACTTTCTTTTTTATTGAATGTTGAAAAAGTTTCTTATTCATATTTTTTTTTTATTAAAATTAAATAGTTTATATTTATGTATAAATCTGATGAAGAAAACAGCGGTCAATAATTGTATATATAGAATGACGAAAAACAGAAA